ACACACACACACACACACACACACACACACGCACACACACACATACACACACACACACGCACACTTGAAGTCAGCAGCGAAGAGGGTCCTCAGGCGCGGGCAACAGATGGAAGTGCGAATTGCGATCGAGCATAATCGAAGGCGCTGTGTACGAAACGTCAATCACTGACGTGTAGGGATGGGCGTTGGGTGGGAAGGACTGCCCAGCGAGTGTGCAGCGGCCAGATAACCGAAGAGCCCGTCAATCACACACACACACACTTACACACAGACGCACACAATTTTGGGGGGAGGGGGGGGGGCGTCGCGGCCACGCGCGCTGTGGCGCGGCGAAGGAGATAGCGCGCCCGTGGAAAAACTCCCATAGGGGGGTCCCCCCTTACATAGCTACCCCTCCCCACCCCTTGGACCCTCCTTGCCAGAAGCCCCCCCCCCTCTTTTTCTCCGTCCCTCGGAAGCTACCCCTCCCTCCCCCCTGTCGCGCTCCGGAAGCGACCCCCCCCTTTCCAGGGGTGGGGGGCGGTGGGCTTAGCTACCCCCACCCCCTTTGACTTCCCCTGCTCGAACCCCCCCTCCTCTTTTTCCGCCCTTCGGAAGCTACCTCCCCTCCCCCCTCTCGAGCTCCGAAAGCTACCCCACCCCTTTCGAAAGGGCGGGGGCTTAGCTACCTCCCCCCTTTTAAACCCTCCCTGCCGGAAGGCCTCCCCCTTTCTTCCGCCCTGCGGAAGCTCTCCCCCCCTGTCGCGCTCCAAAAGCTGCCTCCCCCCCGAAAGGAGCGCCGAAAACCAAAGGAACGCCGAACACAAAAAGGGCGCCCACAACCAGAAAGGCACAGAAAAACCAATGGGCGCCGAAAACCAAAGGGCGCCGAAGGGCAAAGAAACACCGAAAACCAATGGGCGCCGAAAACCAAAAAAGTGCGCCGAAAACCGAACGAAAAAGGCGCCGAAAACCAGCGGGGCGCCGAAAACCAAACATGCGCCGAAAACCAGCAGAGCGCGCGAAAACTAAAGCGGCGCCGACAACCAAAAGGACGCCGAAAACTCAAGGGCGCCGAAACCCAACAGGGCGCCGAAAACCAAAGGCTCGCCGAACTTAAAAAAAACGCCAGAAACCATACGGGCGCCGAAAACCAATAGGGCGCCGAAAACCAAAGGGTCGCCGAAAACCGCAAGGGCACCAGAAACTAAAGAAACGCCGAAAACCGAAGGAGCGCCGAAAACCAAAAGGGCGCCGAAAACAAAAGAGGCACCGAAAACAAGAAGGGCGCCGAAAACCAATGAGCCGCCGAAAACAAACTTACACCAGAGAGAAAACCCAACCAGTGGATTTATATATATATATATATATATATATATATACATCTATATATATATATATATACAAGACTGCGGTGGCGCTTCGCGCCATGCATCTTGTTCCTTGAAATTTGGTATGCAGACGGGATGGCAGGAAGGTAAAACCGACAATTTAGCGATCAATTCTTGTTGCCTTTTCCGGCATCGCCGCTACGATAATGTTATTTGTTTTTCTTCCTCTACGCTTCTTTTTCCTCATCCTCGCCATATACTGCGCATTCTCCCCATCCTCCTCAGCTCTTTCTGCGGAGGCTCCTCCTTGGAGAGCCTCTGGGGGCCTCACAAAAAATATCAAGCTTTCTTAAGCCCTTCTGGAGGCCTCTTGGGCGTCTTCCTCGGGCCACCCTGCCTCCAACCGCGGTCTCCCTGAACGACCGGGTCACGACTTGGAATGCTTCCGAAGGTGTCTTGGGGCTCTCTTAGAGGCGCCACGGGCCCCCTGCACGGGCGTCCAGGGGGTCCCCAGGGCCACGGATCCGGGGGGTCGAGAGGGTCCCGGGGGCCCAGGATTCGGGGGA